TAAGTAAATAAGTAGGTAAATAAATAAATAAAACTCGATGAAAATCTAGAATTTAAATGGTAAGTTCCTTAGAAGGTGCCCCCCTTGATTCCTCTCCAGTTTTCAAAAGGAAATCCTCATTCATAAAATGTCTGAACCGACTTTAATAATTGAACCTGTGACTCTTAGTTTGGGGCCTTAGTATGCCAGATTATCTGAAATAGTGATTTATACTTGCAGATAGTCCAGCAATAATTTCAGATATCACAGCCTCGGCTGACACTTTTTGGATGTTTTCCTTATGATAAATTTCTCTTTTTACTTTTTTCATTAAATGTATCTGCTCTGGTGTCTTTGTTCCTTCTTCCAGCAGTCTGAAAATCTTTGTGCAAGCCTGATCCATGAGCTATCCCTCCATCTCTAAAAAAACAGTCATGGCGTAAGAATTCATAAGTGTATGCCTCAGAATACTCTCAGATATCTGGGACCTGGGAGTCTCAAGATCAAGGCCATGCAGAGCTGGATAAAACAAAACAGAATCAGCGTCCCCTAGTCATAAAAACTACTCCAGTACCCAAGTGCACCTGAGCCTCTTTGCACATCCAGGGAAGGCTGAAAGTATTTTCTAACCTCTGAAATAAGTTTCTTACAAAGATAAAAGGAAATTATTGTTGGTCTTTTCACTTTATGACCTACCTCTTCATAATAAGAATTGAGGAAAATTGTCATCAAATGCTCTTTTCAGACAGGTAGGATGTCATAATGGAGGGAGCCCAGCCCCTGAAGTTAGACATAAATGGAGATGAATGCAAATTCCTTCACTGATCAGCTCTATGCCTTCTAGCAAGTTACTTAATTGCTCTGACCCTTGCTCTCCTTTGCTATAAAAAGGGGTTATTGGCCAGGTGAGGTGGCTCATGCCTGCAATCCCAGCATATTGGGAGGCCAAGGATGGCAGATCACCTGAGGTCAGGAGTTCAAGACCAGCCTGGTGAAACCTCATCTCTAGTAAAAATTTTTAAAATAGCCAGGCATGGTAGCACATGCCTGTAATCCCAACTACTCGGCAGGCTGAGGCAAGAGAATCACTCAAAACCTGGAGGCGGAGGTTGTGGTGAACCAAGATGGCACCATTGCACTCTAGCTTAGACGACCCAGCGAGACTCTATCACAAAAAAAAAAAAAAAAGTACGGGGTTATTGATATTACCTGCATTTTGGGCATGTTATATGGATTAGAAATAATCTATTAAAAACACATAGCATAGTGGCTGGTACAAAGTAGACATTCCACAAATTACACTTATTATTATTTCAAAGTAAATTAGTTTAAACATTTAGGAATCGGGTTTATGCTTCCAGATGACTACATGAACCTGAGAGATTTTTTTTTTTGCCCCATAGAAATGTTTTGTAATTGCCCTGGCTGTGACCCCAGCTATGAATCTAGAAAAATATATTTAAAGTAATCTTATTCCAAATTTAAAAAAAATTATAATAGTTTGCCTCAAAAAGTAAAACAATCAAGCTTCCCATTAAGACAAATTCAGTAACCACAAAGGCATACAGAGCCAGACAAAGGAAGATAGTACTATTCTCTCCACGAGTGTGTGACTCATTTTCAACTCAAAGATGATGTGCAGGAAACAAACACTCATTTACCCACTAGGCTGCTCAGAGCTACAGGGACACAGACAACACCGCACTCATTTTTTGCACATTCAGGCAAAATGTTATGTCCTTCCTCACTGGATTCAGTCCCATTTTTGCAGGTGTAACTTTTATAAGCAATACTGAAAAGAAAAAAAAAAATGTGTCATTTGGGAGTGCATTCAAAGCCCATTAAAATGACACATTCACTTGTATTTCTCTTTAACCTTCAGGCTGCAGGACAGCCTCCCAACCGTGCTAAAGAATCAAGGGCAGAAGGCCAAAATCATCCAAAAACAAATATGATACTTCAAAAATGCCTGAAAAGGACAGGTGTGCTTTTCAAGAAGCCTTTCCCTCAGCGGCTTTAGCTTTTGTGTGCTGCCCAGATGTAGCTGATAAACCAAGGCTTTCTGACTTTGCAGCCTGATAGATATAATTTTTATACTGTATATGGAAAGATAATGCACCCAATGTATTGGACAGTTGTCCCTGTGTTATCAAGTAGTGTGTTCTCTTATTTCACTAACAAATGTGCAGACAAACACACATTGTGGCAAATGCAAGGAAATCACTAGCCCGTGTTTGAAACTTAAACCTCCCCATTCTTTAGAGCATAGCAGTATTCAGGCAATCGGGATGCATGGTACCAGTATTACCCTTTCTTGCCAGACTCCAGAACACAATAGCTGATATGTTTCAGTGCATGAATAATTCTGATCCCACCTAGACAATTACTGTGCAGGAACTATCCTTATATTAGTTACCTCATAAAAATATGTATATTTTATTACAAAACAAGAATATTCAAATGGATATCCATATTTGGTCCCCAAATCCTCCCCTTTCCTGTGTCTTACGCAAAGTAGAGGTATATATATATATATATATATATATATATATATATATATATATTTTTTTTTTTTTTTTCCTTTTTTAATTAATTAATTAATTTTATTTTTTTGAGACAAAGTCTTGCTTTTTTCCCCCCAGGCTGGAGTGCAATGGCACAATCTTGGCTACCTACAACCTCTGCCTCCTGGGTTCAAGCAATTGTCCTGCCTCGGCCCGCTGAGTAGCTGGGATTACAGGCACCTGCCACCATGCCTGGCTAAGTTTTATATTTTTAGTAGAGATGGGGTTTCACCATGTTGGCCAGGCTGGTCTTGAACTCCTGACCTCATGATTCACCCACCTCAGCCTCCCAAAGTGCTGGGATTATAGGCGTGAGCCACCATACCCAGCCAAGGTCAATAAATATTTATCAAATGAATGTTAAAAGCATGAAAGAATGTGTTGTTAGGATTTTGATGCCTTTCTAGTGAGATACTACCTATTTTACATTTAATCGCAGCTCATTGTTTTGAGATAAGAAAATCTGAACATAAAGTCATGATAAGCCATCAAGATTATAAAGAGCAGACTCAGGAACTGAACTGTATTATTTGCCTGTCCCTTCATGCAATTTCTTTCTACTTACAGAAAAATCCCCCCTTCCTGCTGGTTCCACCCCTGAAATATTTATAGGCTGATGCCCTCTTTAGTCATCGCTGAGCTAAGCTGCAATCTTTTAATCATTTCTCAGAAGTCATTTTCTCCATCGGCTTAATCATTTCATTTACTTCTCACTCCACCCAATGTGCTTACTCCCTTAGACATGAGATTGCAGAACTAAAACATAGCCCTTCAAGGAACAAGAGAGAGGCCAGGCAACGTCAAGCCCCTTGAAAATAGAACGTGTTCTCACATGTGACTCCATACATGTTTTGCTGTGGAACTCTTGAATTCCATCTCACCTTAGAGGCAAGATGCAATCTTTATCAGAGCTCCAGGGATAATGCTATGTCACACAAAAATGTGCACTGCTTTTGATGTCAGGCACACCTGGGTTCAAATCCTGGCTTCCCAATTTACTACCTATATAACCTAAGGCAAGTTATTAAGCATCTCTAAATCTTGGTTTGTCAGAGATAGGTCGGGAGGAATACTAGCTACATCATAGGAGTCTTGTGAGAACTAAATCACTTAATATATGCAAGTGGACTGTATATACTATACCTAGCACACATTATATACAGCACTCTTACTAACTTCTAAATCTAGTGTTAAATCAATTTCTCTCTCTCTCCCTCACCCCACTGCATTCAATACATGAGGAATTTTGTTCACCTTTCCTTCATTTTTTCTGAATGTATCCATTTCTTCCCATTGATATGAGTCAGTTAGATCAGCTGCCACGTGATCAGACCCACCATCATTTCTTACCAGGACCATTGCCATAGCCTCCTCATTCCCCTGCTTTCATTCTTGCCTTTATAACCCATTCTCTACACTGTAGTGATGTCATCTTTTTAAAATATTAATTGGATTAGTCCACTTGTCTGCATAAAACATGGCACAGGCTTCCCATTACACATAAAAACAAATCCATTTCTTGCCATGGACTGCAGGACCTCAAGTGATCTTTCCCTGCTTGTATCTCTGAGGTTATAATTCTCTCCTCTTCTATCACTTACTCTACTTTTAGCCACGTAGGGCTTTTGGATCTTGAGCTCACTAAGCCTATTCTGGTGCCAGAAACTTTGCCCTTGCCCTTCCCTAAGATTTAGATGTTCCTTCCAGAGATCTTTATATGATTGGTTCCTTCTCATCATTTCAGTCTAAGACCAGAGGTCACCTCCACCAAGAGGCCTCCCTTGGTCACCAAATCTCATGTTGTCTCTCTCTCATAACCTAACACTGTCACTTCATAGTACATTACTTTGTCTTATTGTCTTTATATCACTTGTCACTATCTGAAATTATCATCTTTATTTACTTGTTTACTTCCAGAATGTCTGTCTCTCTCAACAGAATGTCAGCCCTATGAAAGAAGGAACTTTGTCTACTTTGCATATCTCAATATTGTTACTTCCTAAAATAGTGCCTGGCATGAAGTAGGCACTCAAATATTTGACAAATGGATAAATTGATGTTTTTAAGCCTGCTGTGGAAGAACTGGGCTCCATCATACTTTTCATAAGTATGAAAAGTATTTGACAGAAAGAGAATTAAATCTTAAGGTATTCTCACATAAATTTGGTATCTCAGCCCTAAATCTGGCATAACCAGGAAATTCTGGAGCATTATAAAATGGTTCAGAACACAAAGCATGTTTTAATCCTAGCTTTGCTATTTCCTTTCTTGTGTGACCTTGGGTAAGTCAGCTGATGTATTAAAACTGGTTTCCTTGTCTAAAAATATAAGGATAATAATGCATACAATATTAGAGGGCTTTGTGAGGATGAAAGGAGCTAAGTCTATAGCGCAGTTCCTGGAACATTGTGTGCAGTCAGCAAATGGTGTTTATTATTATTATGGCTGTTTTTACAGTAATTAATTCTGGCACCATACTTTACAAACAACTTTGTCAAATTGGAGCTCGTCCAGAGGAGAACAAACAATCCTGTGAAGGGTCTGGAAACTACAGCTTGTAAGGAATGATGGAAAGAGGTAAGGATGTTTACTTTGTAAAAGACATTTTAAGAGGAACATGATAGCTTTTAAAAAACACTGAAAAGAACTGTCTGGTAGAAGAGGGATTTGATTTATTCAGTGTTACTCTGGAATATACATTTAAAGCTAAAGAGTAAAAGTTAAATCTTAAACTCCTTATGACCTAATAACCGAACTTTTCCAAACGAAAATAGGGTTGAATTCTACTTATAATAGTAAAAACTTGTCATGTTTGCATAAATTTTTATTAGGGAAATTATATCATATATGAAGCCCTTTACAATTATCATTGTATTAGTCTGTTTTCACTCTGCTGATAAAGACATATCCAAGACTGCCCAATTTACAAAGGAAAGAGGTTTAATGGAATTCCCAGTTCCACGTGGCTGAGGAAGCCTCACAATCATGGCACAAGGTGAAAGGCATGTCTCACATGGTGGCAAACAAGAGAAGAGGGCTTGTGCAGAATAATTCCCCTTTTTAAAACCATCAGATCTTGTGAGGCTTATTCACTATCATGAGAACAGCACAGGAAAGACCTGCCCCCATGATTCAATTACCTACCACTGGGTTCCTCCCACGAGATGCGATTTGGGTGGGGACACAGCCAAACCATATCAACCATATTAAGACTTTATATCAATATGAAAAGTATGTGTGGGATGTCAACTGCAAAAAAGCAGACTATAAAATATATGCATAGGCAGACTATAAAATATAAGCACTCTATAGAGAGAAACAGAAAGAAAGAGAGAGAATATAAGTACAAACACATGCAAATAAAATGTGTTGCTTCAAGGGGTGGTGAGTTTCCTGTCCCTCCAAAGGTTAAAGCAGAGGCCAGACAACCTCTTAGAAGAAATAGCATGTGAGAAGTGATATTACAGAGAAAGCCCTGGGCAGGGTGAACACTGAAAAGATTTCAAAGCTCCATGGGTCTATGAGCTGAGGAAATATATTATTGAATTGTGAACACAAAATTGTGCTTTTTAAAATTGTATAGAAGACATTATGCCTCTCAAATATTTTCATTTCCTCCCAATTTAAAAAGGCAAAAAAAAAAAAAAAAAAAAAAAAAAGAACAACAAGAGACCCAAGTTCTGGGCTCCATGGTCTACTAGGGCATCAAAACTCACAAAGTGGACGTTTCTGGCCATTATTTCACTTCTGCTCCAGCAAAAGCCTGTCAACCTCTTGCAACCTCATTTTCTGGATCCTCTCCCCAAAAGAAGGAAGTTGCATGCTTTCTATTTCTAAAAATCTGTGATTCATCTTGATTAGTTTGTTTCATAAATCTCAGCTCGGCCAAGAATTAGAAGCCACCTGAACTTTGCAAATAAGGAATTTCCAAGAACACTAACAAGGGAATAACTGTAGGAAAATTTTGGTCCCCAAATCAGGTAGAGTTCTTTTTCCACATAAGGTTCAAAAAGCAATAAATGATATGTAATTCAATGGGTGAGAAGTTTAGAACTCTAAGAGACAAGCATCCATGAGTAGGGTTTTTCTATAAAGTCTCTTTGTTTTATATGCAAGATGATATTAAGTCATCACCTGCATTGCTTTCTTGGCTTTCGATGATAAAAGAGCTCTCCTCCATTATTGTTAAACTTCCTGGCAAGTTTTCAGACTATCTTCATTCTAGAAGGGCCAATAGACAGAAGACTGCCATTTTCAAGCCTTGAATACATGATTGGATACTTCCTTGATGTCAACTTGCCTCCCATTTTATATCTCAGATGATTTTCAGTGGTGGCAAAAACATGGACTTTCCCTTCCCACTTATGGAACTATGAGGTGTGCTTGTAGTAGGCAATAGACATATTACAAAATAGCAAACCCATAGAACTCCTTAAGACATTATGAATACTGTAAAACAGCTTCATTCTCTTCAAATTCTTGGTTATAATTCATACAGATTACATTGTGGGGACAGAACAAAGTAAGCCTTGCTGTGCCATGCTCTTCTTGTGAAGAATTCTCTGACTCTTATATTTCAGATGAAGGAATCATTGTAACATAACAATGGTCAGGAGGTCCCCTGCTCCCATGCTCAGAATTGACCTACAGTCCTCAACCCAATAATCTCAAGCCCAGATGATTACCACTTACATGGAAGGTAAGCTTCTTTTCTTTCAGATAACAGAATTTTTTATTGTTAATATTTTTTATAATTGAGGTGAAATTCACATGACAAAAATTAATCATTATAAAGTGAACAAGTCAGATCAATTTATTACATTCACATGCTGTGTAATCATGACCTCTAACTAGTTGCAAAACATTTTCATCACCTCAAAATAAAACCTCTGCACCAAATTAATACAAGCTCCAATAGAAGATAGGATACTTTTTTCAATTTTTTCTTGCTGTATCCTTAATGTCTATATCTCTAATGACACTAGAAGATGCTCAATAATTGTTTGAAGACACTGAATAATCAAATAAGTGATTTAAATCCTAGTATTATAGTTCAAGCAGCATTTTCAAATAATGTATATAAAATAAGGGTGTTAAGATGTAGGGGAAAGAAAAGTAAAAAGGAAGGTGGCAACTATATCAACTCTTAGATGACTACCATTGTATGCAGGCACTGTGCCAGATGTCTCTTGCGGGTTACCTCTTTTAATCCTAAACGTTATAAGACAAATAGTTCAACTCTAGTAAGTTCTTTGAAACTTGTCATCCATTATCTATTATCTTTTCATTCAAGCTATAGTATTATTTGCTAGCAAGATACATAGACTTTAGAAATAAATTTGCTGGCCAGGAGCAGTGGCTCACACCTGTAATCCCAGCACTTTAGGAAGCCGAGGGGGATGGATCATTTAAGGTCAGAAGTTTGAGACCAGCCTGGCCAACACAGTGAAACCTGGTCTCTACTAAAGATACGAAAAATAAAAAATAGTTGGGCATGGTGGTACGTGCCTGTAATCCCAGCTACTCAGGAGGCCAGGCACGAGAATTGCTTGAACCCAGGAGGTGGAGGTTGCAGTGAGCCAAGATTTTGCCACTGGACTCCAGCCTGGGAGACAGAGTGAAACTCTGTCTCAGAAAAAAAAAAGGAAATTTGTTGTATGCTTTTATTCCTGGCTATAAGGAAAACAATTATGGCAGGTAAAGGCAAGCTGACCATATTTATCCTAAATAATTCAAATAAACTGTAATTCATGAAAAATGTAAAAAGCATTATGGATACATAATCAAAGGAGAAATTAACCTCAGCATGTACAATCAAAGACCTTACTAGAAGCTAACACTTGATCTAGGCCTCAAATAACTGACATGCTTTGTAAACTCAGAAGTCTGATACAAGGTAAGTTATAGGATAGGAAAAGACACTTAAAGAGCATGGTATGCAAGAAGCCTTTCCGTGAGTGGTAGGGAGCTTCTAAGGCAGCCCCCACTGATCTCCACCTCCTCATGTTTATGTCGTTTAATACTCTCCACTTGAATATGAGTAGGACCTATGACTTACTCCTAGCCAACAGAATATGGCAAAGGGAGGTGGGATGTCGCTTCCATGATTGTGACTTTTGTCTTTTTTTTTTTTGAGACAAGAGTTTCACTCTGTCGCCCAGGCTGGAGTGCAGTAGCACAATCTCAGATCACTGCAACCTCTGCCTATGAAATGGGTAAAGTTTGTCTTTTTTTTCTTTTGCTTTGAGATGGAGTCTTGGTCTGTCACACAGGCTGGAGTGTGGTGGCACAATCTCGGATCACTGCAACCTCTGCCTCCCTGGTTCAAGCAATTCTCCTGTCTCAGCTTCCTGAGTAACTGAGATTACAGGCACTTGCCCGAAGCCTGGCTAATTTTTGTATTTTTAGTAGAGACTCAGGTTTCACCACATTGGTCACACTGGTCTCGAACTCCTGACCTCAGGTGATCCACCTGCCTCAGCCTCTCAAAGTGCTAAGATTATAGGCGTGAGCCACTGCGCCCAGACAATTACTTCTGTCTTGCTAACAGACTCTCTATTGCCGTCTCAGCTTGTATGCTTTGATGAAAAGTTTGTGATTTTGGAAAAGCTCATGTGTCAAAAAACTGAGACAGTCTCTAACCAACAGACAGAAAGAAACTCAGGCCCTCAGTCTAACAGCCTTTCACCAGTACACTGATACATTGATTCCAGCCTTTCAAGGGACTCTTAACTCAGAGAATCAGGCCAGTATTCCTGACCCACAGAAACAGCAAGATAATAAATACGTGCTGTTTTAAGCTGCTAAATTTTGTCATAATATTTACAAAGTAAGAACTAATTAATTTAATTTAGGACTAATAATACACTTGCATTTTTCCCCCCAAATCTTTTTTGTAACAAATCTTTTAATTTGTAATTCAAGCATTTATTTAGTAAATATTTATTGAGTCTGTTTTGTGCAATTATTGTTGCTATAATTAATATAAAGGCTGGGAATATCAATCAGAGAAAGACCTCTCCTCAAGAAGTACAAGTAGGTAAGATGTGCTCACAAATAATTAAAACAAGGTAGAAGTAACATGCTAAGTTGCAAAGAATAGCTGGAGATGATCTATCAAGAATATGTGGTGGAAGTGCATTGAATTGTGTCCTGAAAAGCAGCTTGGGCAAATAAAGATACACAATGGACTGTTTATAAGCAAATACATGGAGGTGAGAATTGTGGGGCATGTACAACAGATGAAAAGCAATTTCTTTGACAACAGGTAGGGCACATTTAGGGTAAAGGATACATGTGGGTAGAGAGAACTGGAGAAGCAGTTTGGTCCATATAGGGAAGCTCCTTGAACTGTGGGTAAAGGGCTAAGAGTTTGTGCTTTTTAAAACATTATTCAAACTCAATGCCAAAAATAGTACAGTCCCAATTTCCTTTCTGAAACCTTCCTCATTTCATATCTAATACTTTTAAATACTGGGCCAAAGGTAAAAACTTCCTGTACTTTGATCATGTCTCAGTTCGTTCAAGATTACTTATCTATTGAGTCGCTCTGAAATGGCTCCCTGCATTTTATAATGCAATTCGAAGACCCAAGTATCATTGAAATTGAGAAATTGTATGCATTTTTACTATGCGTGGATTATTGTGGTGACTCTCTGCATTTGTTTCCAGTACAGAAAAAATTCTTACATTCTTTCCCCCCACAAAATGTCAGTAGCTTGAAGTATCCTCATTTATTTATCAGGGTTTGGAAGAAGGCCACATGGCTGCAAAATGTGTATTTACATCTAATTTGTACATAGCTTTCTGCTTGTAATTTCATTTAGGGTAGTTTAAATGGGACTTGAACAGACAATTTTTACTTGTACATTTACCAGCATTAAATCACTTTGAAAATCTATTCAAGAATATCTTGAAATTAATCTTCACTGGAGCCTTTCTCTACATAATCTCTGCTAGTTACAAAATTCTTCATAGAGATTCTCAAGGAGTTTCAAAAGCTTTCCGCTCACCTAGCAGGTTATGGCTTATTTTATAGTCTTTCATATACTACTTTAGAGAAGCACCCAAATTTACCATCTTCCTCACCTAATCGAAAAAGTGTGTTGAGATCCTCTGGACTTGTGCTTTCATACATATTTTAAACACACATAAACAGGCATCCCCCCAGACTTTCAGAGTATCAACAAATAGTGTTTTTGAGCTTGTCTCTCTCAATTTTGTACTCTGTACATCTAATTACACTTGTAGAACGCATAATCCTATGACACCAACTATCCAACCACATCACCATCCTCACATCTTCTCAGCTAAAATCTGTTTACAATTCAGTGTCACGATTTGATTTTTTTTCTTTTTTTGATTGATACTTAAGCAGCTGGGAGAATTAATGGAGTTCAGCAGAGGCCACAGTCCTAACAAGGGTTTGTAATTGATATCTGGGAGGCCGAAGCCTTTCCATTCTGCAAAAGCAGTCTAATTAGTGAGGCCTGCATGTCTGTGCAATGCAGGAGGAGGAGGTGGTGGAGGAGGAGGAAACCTGAGGTCCCCTGAGGGTTTGAAATTGCTCTGCTCTTTCCTATCAGCACAGTTCCACAGAAGCAAGAGAGGCAGAGTGCTTCTAGAAGAGACAGACCCTTCAAACGTATTTGCAACCTGTATTTTTGTTGCAAATACACATAACACAGTATTTGCAACTTATAGTCATCATTCTCCAATTAATGTTCAAAAGAGTTTAGTGGTTTACTCCTTTAACCCTTAGGTATATAGGACATAATTTATTCACCTAAAATTTAACTTGTCAATATAATTCACTTTGGCATATTTTTAAATGGCAAGTTCCTTGATTCATCTAAAATTACTTTATAATGCAACGAACAGAATTATTTTTAAAGTAAGTCCCTTTGAGGCCTATTATTTGATTTTTAAAATTATTTTTAAAAATAATTTTGTATATACATAATAAAATGGTATGAATTCTGAAGACTTCAGGAACCATCTTTATATCATTCAACTTATTTGGTGGAGACCAGACTGGGAGAAAGGGGAAGAGTTTTGATAACTTAAAGAGCTGTATAGGCCAGACGCAGTGGCTCACGCCTGTAATCCCAGCACTTTGGGAGGCCAATTTGGGTGGATCAAGAGGTCAGAAGTTTGAGACCAGCCTGACCAACAAGGTGAAACCCTGTGTCTACTAAAAATACAAAAAAAAAAAAAAAAAGATTAGCTGGGCGTGTTGGTGTGCACTCATAATGCCAGCTACTTGGGAAGCTGAGGCAGGAGAATCACTTGAACCCAGGAGGAGGAGGTTGCAGTGAGCCAAGATCATGCCACTACACTCCAGCCTGGGCAACAGAGTGAGACTTCATCTCAAAAAAAAAAAGCTGTATACATTTTTTAAAAAATGATTAATATTCTTTAATTTCAAATTTATGAAGCAACTGATTTTATAAAATGCTTATTTTATTGTAATTTTTTCCTTCATCAAACATATATTTCTATTTGTTTTCAAATGCACTGCTTAAAATACAAATATTTACTTTTAGACTCTCTCTGTTCTTGACTACTGCAATTTCTCTTAATTTCAGCCTCTTAAGATCAGAAGAATATTTGCTTTTCATTTTTGCCATGATAACATGGACTTCGACTCTTCTGAATGCTTTCTTCATAATTTTTCTGTATATTAAATTGAAAGTTCATCTCACTCATAATACCCCATACAAGTCTCTCTTACATTTTATCTATTCTCCTGCCCGCAATATTCATTTTTCTTTCCATCCTTTTGTTTGCTTATTTGTTTTTATTTAACAGCCCGCATCATGCTTTGAACTTTGTGTCCTTTTTAATTTAATGTTTAGACGTTATGAATTTCCCAATCCATTGCATAAATAAATGTTCATATTCATTTATTCAAATTTGTTATTGATTACCAGAAACTAAGTAACTAGCAAATGTAAATTCAGTACTAAATTTAGAATAAAGCCAAGTGAACTGGTGATTAGGAGACAATATTCCCATGTAAGATTCTGCAGACCCCAGGAAGACAGTGACCATGTGGTGTTACTCACTTTTGTATTCTGGGTGGTTAGCAAATTTTCTGACATGGACCCACAGATGGCATTCAACAAGTGTTTATAGAACAAATGAGCTCTGGGAGGTAATATTATCATTTTTTCCATTTTATTAATGAGATCGCATCATTATTAAGTGGTAAAGCCAATATTCAAACTCCAGTATGGAGTTCACATTCTAAATTACTATGCAATATTGCCTCTCTTGGAAATAAAGGAGAGGCATCAAAAATTCCACCACTCTTAGAATTAGGCTTTGTCAAATATAGGAGCCATTAACTAACATAGCCAAGAACAAAAAGAAATTTTACACTATTACATTATTTAAAAGAAATAGAATATTCTCATGTAATCTCATTCAAGCATGGAAAACAGAATATTAAATATTCAAATCATGAAAAACCATTAATATGTAATTTCTGCTGCAGCATTTACTTTTACCCAAATATCAAAGCATTATAATTGCAGGCCTGCAAAAATGGTAAATGATTGGAAGAGTTCACTCCTAGGTGTATAAAAAAGATGGAGATCAATATTATACTATTACTGCTTAGTTTGCACATCAGAAGAAACATGTGAAGCGAATGCCAAGGTACCACAGGGGCGATCAATGCACTCACAAACAGATGGATTCACCTCTGAGATGCCAGTAAGTAGATCTTAAATACTTTTCTCTCTAGAAAACCTGTGTTTGCCAGAGAGCTCAAATCTTAAAAGCTCAAATTTGTATTTTGCACTCTGGGCTTACTGTAGATTGCATAATGATCCATTATGTACTAGAAGTCAAGAGTCCAGTACCAGTTAGTTGCTTCTGAACGTCCAAGGCTACCAAACCCTGTCATTGCTCTGTACAAATGATACGTTTGGTTTGCAAAGCCTCAGAAGGTAATGACATAAAGTCGTTCAAAGCAGAGAAGAAGAATCACTGCAGAGAAGACACATGATAATCAATTATAGTTCCAGTAGGCAGCATTTAATTTTCTGTGAATTTAGTTCAAACTTTGAAAGTATTTTGGCTGATGAGAAATCGTAAGGCTCTGGCACAGGATCTCTTTAGGCAGAAGAGCCCCACAGCAACCCACTGAAATTCAACCATGAAGGAGTGGAGGGTTGTAGAGTGCATCACTGATTCATGGCAATAGTCTCATAACTATTCACTCATAGCAGTTATGGAGCTTAGGTGAGTCTCTCCTAGAGACCCTCTGCAAAATATGCATAAACATCCAATCTCAAAAGGGGTTCCTTATTAGGAAAAAGGAATAATTTTAACCATTAGTGTTACATGATGGGATGGATATTTGAAGTAACCAAAAGCAAAATGTATTTCTAAATATTGACCTTGGTTTTTGATGGTCTGATGGTTTCCTCTCTTGGAAATAAAGAAGAGGTATCAAAAATTCCACCATTCTTGTCTAAAAAATCAGACCTGGTTTTTTATTAACTGTATTGCTAGGACACTAGGAAAAGTCCTGGAGAGTGCTCTTCTCCCGGATCAAGTGCAGTTGGTACACAGTGGAAAATCCACTGGGAAACACTGCTGCGAGCTTTTGGAGCTGAGGATAAACTGGAAAGAATGATGGTTGAGCACAATCCAGAATGAAGCAGCCTTTTGAGATGGAAACCTTGACATCTCACCTCTGGAAAGACATTTTCTGAGCTAGTTCTTCTGCAAAGATGCAGAGGCCATCTCTGTATTACTACTAAGCAACCTAGTACTGAAATAGTGTCTTATGCAAAATAATCTGACAAGATGTATTTATTGGATTGCTGGAGAAGGATTAGATCTTAGTCTTCTCCAAAAATAACGTGTCCTTGGTCTTTGTTCAATCTTTTAATTCATTTTTAAACTTATATCAAGCATCTTATTTGGTCAAGGATCTCATGATCCCGTCTAAGGTGTCCAGATATACAAACTAGATGTGTCATTGTACTAAGATATGACAATGATTTCCCTTGAGTATCTCTGCCTATACTACATATTTGCACCATGCTTATATAGGCCACTGAGTATATATATATACATATTAACTCTATTAATCAGCACACCTCCATGAGCATTGGTCTCATTTTATAGATAAAGGAATAAAATAGAACGCTGCCTACATTTGCATACATTGAAACAACAGAACCAAGACTTGCATACAGGTTAATATCACCAGGGCCACTCCAGGATCATCTCTGAGAAATGCTTTCCAATAAGGCCTTCCAAAAGTAAAAGATTATCTTTCACAGAAGCCAAGTGGAACTCTGTCATTCAGAATATATCTAAACTATTCTTGGAACTATAAATATCACCTGCAGTTTCTTGAAGAGAAATGACTCTCTGTGTGTGTGAGTGGGATGACATATGCAGCTCATATGATATGCACCCAATGAATGATTTTTTTCCTCTACAGTAGTGGCTGTTGGTTCTAGAGTTAAACTATCTAATCCCATAATACTGGCTCTAGGTATGGGACTTTGGGCAGGTTACATTCCTTCTTTGAGCCTCTGTTTCCTCATCTGTAATGGGGTAATAGTAGTATCTATTTGATAGCATTATTGTGAGGATTAAATGAAAATGTCTATGTGAGGTGTTTAGCATAGTGATTAGCACTATGTCAAACCCTCAATAGATGTTATTTTTTTCATATTTCCTTTTTCCTTTAATTCAAGCTACATTATGTAACCAAATACAGATGACCCAGGTATTGAATATGATCAAAGAAAAAGAAGGCTAATATATATCAAGGCTAATTAACACATAAATAAACATTCAGTGATTTTCCTCATGTAGATTATTCTGTCTTTCATATGGTTGCTTATTGGGTAAAACTTCTCCAAAGTTCATGAGTAGGCATAGCCATAGAAAAACTATGAAGTAGATAAAGCTTGTCTTTTTTCTTTTTTTTGCTTTGCTTTAAGATGGAGTCTCGTTTTGTCTCCCAGACTGGAGTACAGTGGCACAATCTCAGATCACTGCAACCTCCACCTCTCGGATTCAAATAATTCTCCTGCCTCAGCTTCCCGAGGAGCAGAGACTACAGGCATGTGCCATCACACAGCGCTAATTTTTGTATTTTTAGTAGAGACAGGGTTTCACCATGTTGGCCAGGGTAGTCAAGAACTCCTGACCTCAAGTGATCCACTCATTTCGGCCTCTCAAAGTGCTGGCATTACAAGCGTGAACCACTGCATCTGGCCTAAGCTTATCTTTTTTGTTCTTAGTCTCCAAGTTGCAGTAACACCAATGCATTTATAGGAAAGCCTGATTTTAAGTATGGACCTAGAATTTATTTGCAGTAAGATGCAAATGTATTCATTCAATAACAAGTATATACTAAATACTTTCAGCTGATTACAGCCTGAAATAATACCAGGAGTGCTTAAAAAATATTGTACACTTCAGAATCAAAGCCACCTTGATAGATCATCTATTCTAATATAATCACGCTAAAAAGTAAGAAAATAGAGATCCTGAGAACTTTGTATTTTAAGAAGAACTGAAAGAATAAAGCTTTATGTGGTATCTTTGGCATGAGTCAACAGATAGGGAATATATACCAACAGGATAACATCATTAAATCACTCATTCAGATAGCTGCTCCCCAGTTCATTCCCAAAGAAAAGTCTTAACCATAGGTCCAAGGAAAGCTAGTTGTTTATTTGAAGCAGAGGGCTGGAGGAGATACCAAGTGTTCCCATGTGCTTATAGGAATGTTCTGGGCTTGCTCTCTCATCACCAGTGTGCTTACCATCATCATTTCAACAGGATTCCTACCTACAAAAGGAATTACCATCTATCTCACTTCGTACGATTTTCAAACAATTGTAAAGTAAATTCTTCAATCTTAATGCCCAATTCTAAGTGTTTCTAGTTAGTCAAAAGGGCATTAAGAAAGCAGATCAATAATTGGGTGGTAATTTTATGTGTGAACAGAATGTCATTAATTTGAAGGCTCACCTAACTCTATCTTGGGGAAATGAGGAGTAGTTAATCAAGGACAGTGGTGCGTGGCATCACTCTCACAGACAGGGAGAGTGTCTCACAAAGCATTACTTTGGAATACTTTACTCTAAAATCTGGTAGCTATGTGATGGCGAGGGATAGAATCAGTCATTTTCCTTTGTCACTGGACCAACATTTCTTTTTTTTTTTCTTTTTTGAGACAGAGTCTCACTCTGTCGCCCAGGCTGGAGTGCAGTGGCGTGATCTCAGCTCACTGCAGCCTCCACCTCCCAGGTTCAAGCAATTCTCCTGCCTCAGCCTACTGAGTAGCTGAGATTGCAAGTGCCCACCACCATGCCTGGCTAATTTTTTAATTTTTAGTAGAGACAGGGTTTCACCATGTTGATCAGGCTGGTCTCCAACTCCTGACTTTGTGATCTGCCCGCCTCAGCCTCCCAAAGTGCTGGGATTACAGGCGTGAGCCACCATGCCTGGCAACATTTCTTTTAATACACAGTGTGATCAGTGAATCAGAGATGAATATCCAATGCTGGGAGTGGTGGCTCATGCCTGTAATCCTAGCACACTGGGAGGCCAAGGTGGGTGGATCACTTGAGGTCATGAGTTTGAGACCAGCCTGGCAAACATGGCAAAACCCCATCTCTATTAAAATTACATAAGTTAGTTGGTGGTGATGATGTGGTGGTGTTGTGTGCCTATAGTCCCAACTACTCAGGAGGCTGAGGTAGGAGAATCACTGGAACCTGGGAGATGCAGGTTGCAATGAGCCAAGATTATACCATTCTACTCCGGCCTTGGTAACAGAGCAAAAGACTCTGCCTCAAAAAAAAAAAAAAAAAAGGAATGTTCACACCAGTGCTGCTAATGAAAAGCCAGAGTTCATGAGTAGCTTCAGTAAAAGACAGGTTGCCACAGAAAAAGCTAAAAATGTGAAAAGGTTTCAGTTTACCAAAAAACCCTCTAGCCATTCACTTATCACAAGGCAGTGTCGATGACCCTCTCGAAATATGCCCTTTGCTCCTGTTCCTTGTCTAAATGCAGCAAATCACCAGTTGACAGCTGTACTCTGAGCACAAAGTGATGACCCCTGGAACCCTGAGAACTGACTGCTTCCCACTTTGTCTACTTAAATATCAATCTTACAAGCTCCATGAAAATAACTATAACCGATCGTTAAACTGATTTTCTTATTGTCTTACAATTTTAGCAGAGGCCCAAACACCGTAGAGTGGAAATTATAAATTCAGAGCTAAGACCCTGTAAATCTTGATATTTGGACTGCTGACACACAAAAATGGAGTTTTGGATCATTGCCTCTAAGAACATGAGTGCTGAAGATGTTCTTGGGACTTGTCAGTGGGTTATGCAGTCCCTCAACACAAAATAGTGTAGGAGAAAGAAGTGCTTCTGCTCCCCTACCAACCAAACCAAATGAGGAAGGCTTTGGAAACCCACTGGCAGAACTACACCTGTGTCTCCTAGAAGTTAGGTGGCACAAGCTGTTGTATGTGACTCAAACCTAAACAATGTAGATATGAGAGACTGATTCAACACCCTTGAGAACGGAGTGAAAAAACCGGGCTACAATGGAAACTAACTGTACTCTCACCAATGGTGGGACAAAATTATATTTATTCTGAGAACCAAGTATGGATACCATGGAAAAGAGCTGACCTTTAATCACATTTGTAGTGACCCTAAACAAGAGGCCCACCTGGAAAGATGAAGTGACACCAACAGAGAACCTGAGGAGCAGACTGGATGCAGTGGCTCACACCTGTCATCCCATCACTTTGGGAGGCCAAGGTGAAAGGATCACTTGAGGTCAGGAGTTTGAGACCAGCCTGGCCAAATGGTGAAACCCTGTGTCCACCAAAAATATAAAAATCAGCCAGGCAAGGTGGTGTATGCCTATAACCCCAGTTACCTGGGAGGCTAAGGCAGGAGAATTGCTTGAACCCAGGAGGCAGAGGCTGCAGTGAGCCCAATTATGCCACTGCACTCCAACCTGGGTGACAGTGAGACTCTTAAAAAAAAAAAAAAAAAGACTGAGGATCATGGCTCACTGGAAGTGAGAGGCTTAAAAGGAAACTGTGAATGGCCAGTTGTAGGAGGTATCACCTGTGTCAGGGACCTGCAGAGGGACAAGCCATAGCTGTGGGCTCTTCTAATAACTCATAAAATCTCACCATGAACCAGTTTTGGCATATCTGCCTTGACAGAGGGGGACAGCCAAGAAAGCTAGAGAAAACCTTTTCAATGTCTGAATTTTTCCTATCTATCTTTTCCCTCTCCAACCCCAGGGAATCCAGAGGCAACAGGAAGGAGTGCAAAAACGAAGAAGAAGAATAAAAGAAACCAGCAAGCCCACCTTTCCATTGCAGAGTTTTAGCCAGAACTGAGATGGGATGAATAAAATGAGAAAAGCTTGCATATTAAACTACACATTAAAGTTTGTATATTTTACAAAGGATTCTTCCTTATTCCTTTTCTATTTATCCAAACCCCACCTACTCTTGTTTTATTATTTGGAAATGAGATTGACTATAACATGAAAAGCTATGGAGTCTGCCATCGTTTTTGGAAATTTCACCTAAAGCAAGGGAAAAACAATTCAGCAGAATAGGTTTAAAGTGATAGGAATGAAAAATAAAGGTGCTTTCTGCTTGCTTTTAACAAGTCCAATTTGTTTAATAAAGTGTAGTATTGTGCTGGTGTTTATGCACACATTCTGCAATTAGTACTTTGGAGCTAATAACTACATTTCTCTAAATAATTGCAATGATGCCTTATGTTTATATTAACAACTTATATGTGTCAGACATTGTGCTAAATACTTTTACAAGCATTATTCCATTCAAGTTTAGTGATCATCTTAAGAAATTCATTAAAACTATTTTACAGTTAAGGAAACAAAGCCTAGGTTAAATAACTTGAGTAAGATCACACAGAAAATGGTGGAGGCAGAACCTGAGCTCAAGTAGCCTGTCTACAAAGCCTAAATTCTTATTCAGTGGTTTCCCTTGTAAAACATTGGACTAGGCATTATACAAAATAATAAAATAGTTAATGTTTTTAATGTCTATGTCTATGCCAATATCCATTTTTATCATATTGTTTTCCATTTTAAATACTCAGAAATGGTCACATTTTCTACGTTTTTATCTAGTGGCAGGAATGGAATTTTCTGCAGTGAAGTAAATGATCTGTATCTGTGCTGACCAACATAGCAGTCACTAGACACATGTGACTGCTGAGCACTTAAATGCAGCTGGTGCAGTGAAGGAACTAAATTTTTATCTGAATTTTATTTAAATTTATTTAACCTCAAACTTAAATGATCATATGGGGCTAGTGGCTATGGCATTGGAATAACCAAAGATAATACTGCAGGCCTATCTTGGCCTGTCTGTCTTTTGGCAAATCCAGGTATACTATATATCACACACACATAATAGAGACTCTAGATTACCTGAAAAAGAAAGTTCTGGATTAAGAAGGAGGTAGGTGACTCATTTCAGCCAAAAATCCTCCCCCCAAAAATCTACCTAATATCTAGGATGATGACAAAGTTTCAAAGATTCCTTTGGATATAGAGATATGGATTTCCAATATATTTTGGGATGATCTCACAGAATCCAAGATGATGGACATTTTTATGTCACCAAAGTGATTGTCATAAAACCCTTTTTTCAAAATTAAAAAAGGAATAACTTCCCAGTGGTTAGACTTAGATTTGAGCTAAATATTTACTATCTGATCGTCAAGACATGTACCAACAGCTAGAACATTCACTTGTTCTAGGCAACATTTTAAGAATGACATTCTGAAAACAATTTAAAAGACAATCAAGATAAAGAAGGTTCTGAAAAGATGGCCATAAAAGAAGACATAGAATTGTCAGCCAAAAGAGAAGGCACAGATGTTGTATAGGTGCTGCTCTCAAGCAATTGAATGCTTGTCACAGAGGAGAGAGAGAGTCTTATTCTATGCTATCCAAGGAGAAGGACTAAGATCAAAAGAGAGGACTTGGGAAATAGGAAACCCCAATGTAAGCAAGAGCAGGAAGTTGAGCTATTCAGCAGAATTCACTATTTAAGTAGTGATGCACTCCAGCCACTAACTATGTTCAAACAGATTGCAGAAAATTTTAAATTATAGTTAAAATGCAAGTCCAGGCTGGGTGTGGTGACACACACCTGTAATCCTAGCACTTTGGGAGGCCTAGGTGGGTGGATCACCTGAGGTCAGGAGTTCAACACCAATGGTGAAACTATGTCTTCCAAAAATACAACAAAAAATTAGGCAGGCTTAGTGGAGTATGCCTGTAGTCCCAGCTACTCAGGAGGCTGAGGCAGGAGAATCACTTGAACCCAGGAGGCAGAGGTTGCAGTGAGCTGAGACTACGCCATTGCACTCCAGCCTGGGCAAGAAGAGTTTCACTCTGTCATAAAAAAAATGCAAGCCCATATATTTCTATGGTACTTAATGAGAAGTCGTCACAGGGAACCTTAAAAATGTAAAAGCTTGGTTTAGCCATTTCTTTATGTTTTTCTTTATTTTTTTTAAGGACAGTGTTTTGCAAATATTTATACGTTACTTATAAAATGTAAGTTATAGCCATATGTATGTTATCTCTTGTCATTAAAATTTGGATATCTAAATACGTTTTCTAAGAAGGGCAAAGAGCTTTTGCATATATTTTGTGATTTAACAGTTCTAAAGACACCGATGTATAACTTTGAGATGATAAATATTTATTAGACACTATATTTGTTGGAATTAGTTGAAAATTCTGTGTGTTCTAATAAAGTTGTAAATTATGTTTATATAAGAGGCAAAGTTTGCTGATCAATCCTGTGGAAATTGTCCAATGTCAGACACCACTGACATAATTCAACCTACATAAGGTACTAAGTAAATTCTCTTAGAATTAGCAACATATCAAAAAGCATTCTTTCTTGTAAATATTATTTTGCAAGTAAGACAGATATAGTCATATATTAACAGACTGATTTTAAGATGCAATGCCCAAATGTCTTCCAAAACATTTTTTTAAACTTTTGCCAGGAATTCATTTTCTCCCTTTTCTATTTATCCAAGTACCACCTATCCAAGGGCCCTATGCAAGCCTCTTTACCATGAAGACTTCCTAGACTGTCTCAGCCTCTTTGAAGTTTATACCATGGTCATGCCTGCATTACTCTATGCTACACACTCCTTACCATAGAATTCCTAAGTATTTTTCTTAATCCTTGTGTATACTTCTGTTTAACTATCTTGGCTTATCCCTGTTCTAACACAGTGACTTGCATTAAAAAGGCCATGATATATGCTAATTACTTGATCAAGAAAAGTTGGAAAATCCATAGATGGGAGAACTGGCCAGACCGGAAGAATTTCTATCCCAGTTATCTTTGCTATATAACAAATTACCCCAAAACTAGGTGGCTTCAAACAAGCATTTTATTATGTTCAAGGATTGACTGGGAATTTGGAAAGGAGACATTAGGGCTGGCTTCTCTCTGTCATGAGGTCTGGGGTCTCAGATGAGAAGACTAATAACTTATATCTGGTGTCTTAGAGGGAATGGCTCAAAGGTTAAGACTGCCACGCTCAACATCCATCTGTGGCTTCTCTGTGTGGCTTAGCTTCTTAGCATGGCAGCCCCAGAGGAATCAGACAACACTCCCAGAAGTATTTAAGTGTACCAAGTGAAAGCATTTTTGGACTTCACCTCCGAAGTGACATAGTGTCACTCCCACCATACTCTATTGGTTGAAGTAGGTTTCAAAGTGGAGAAAATATAAACCCCAACTCTTCATGGGAGGAGTGGCAAGCTCACATTATCACATAGCATGTGGGATAGGAACTATTGTAGCATCCATCTTTGGAAAGTACAGTCTGCAATGTTTAAATTCTTTGGAAAATGCAATTTCTAAGCCAGTTCTAGGCTTTAACAGGCTACGGTTTTGGATACGTTCAGTGTGTGACCAAATGTTCTGGAAGTACATAAAGTCCACAGCCAGAATGTCTTGTTAATAACAATATCAATACTAGACATCATTCGTTGACACACTAATGAATACTCACCAATGTCTTACACGCATTACCTAATTCCTCAAATCGATGCTATGATAAAGGGCTAATCATGATCCCATTTTACTAACAAGAAAATTGTGGCATAAAATTTTCAAGTAAATTGGGCAAGGTCAGTGGAAGCAAGATTTGATATCAACCATGTCTGTCTGACTCTGGAGTCTAGTTTCTTAATCCTGAAGCTGTACTGACTCTATATACAACATTGTCAGAAGCATGTGAACCAGTGCAACTCCATCTTGTATAGGAGCTGGGTAAAACAAGGCTGAGATCTACCGGGCTGCGTTCCCAGAAGGTTAAGGCATTCTACTTCCTAGGACGAGATAGGAGGTCAGCACGGGTCATAAAGACATTGCTGATAAAACAGGTTGCAGTAAAGAAGCCAACCAAAACCCACCAAAACCAAGATGGCAACAAGAGTGTCCACTGGTCATCCTCACTGCTATACTCCCACCAGTGCCATGATAGCTTACAAATGCCATAGCAATGACAGGCAGTGACCTTTATGTGGTCCAGAAGGGGAAGGCATGAGTAATCCACCCCTTGTTCATCCAGAAATAACCATAAAAATAGGTAATTAGCAGCCCTCGGGGCTGCTCTGTCTATGGATTAGCCATTCTTTTCTTTTTTTTTTTTCTTAATAAACTGGCTTTCACTTTACACTATGGGCTTTCCCTGAATTCTTTCTTGTACAACATCCAAGAACCCTCTCTGGGGGTCTGAACCAGGACACCTTTCCTGTAACAACATTGTACATCTTAAAGGCTTATGAGTCCTTCAATCTTATAGCTTTTGTAAATAACTAGGTCTATATGGGGAATGTCACTTGTATCACTGATTCCCCCTGTAGCATGTTATATTGTTTCTGGTTATGTTGCAGCATGCACAAGCCCTTCTGGAAACTTTGAAAAATTATGTTTCATTCTGTTCCTCTAACCACACACAGCTTGGTCATAAATGCTTCTGGAATTTGTTTTCATCAGCTCAGTGCATCATTTCTTCCTTTGTTCCTGCCTGTCTCAGCAACGTCAAAGCAGCAAGCAAGAACACATCTGCTGATAATTCTTTATCTTCCAACAGCAATTTTTTGTTTCTATGTTTGAATCATGCTTTAGGGCTTATACCCTGTTCTGGGGTGAATGTATTATATTATGTTTTTGGAAGAGGCTTACTTAAGTGCCTGAGTGGTTTTCTCCATTTTATGGGGCAGAAGGTTATTGTAGCTTACTACCCACATTTTTCCCCTCTAGTTAAACACAGATTAGTGAAACCTGAGATACTCTGAGGACTCATTAAAAACTGTCAACCCTTTGAAAAACAGAATTTCCACATAGATTTCCCTATAGCCATGCTTATCAATTTGTAGAAAGCTAAGAACAAATACTTCAAGAAATGATTAACTGTCTGAATGAAATTGCACACACACACAAAAGAGCCACTTAATAAACCAACAATGAAAGGTACAACTGTGGATCAACTGCTCCACATGTCTCTCTTTGGAAGTTCAAATGCAGCAATGAAAGTAAGCTGGTACTTGAATGAAGTGATTTACCTCCCTCAAAAGGAATCATGTTTCATCCCTACTTTCTAAATTCCTTTTAGTTTTGCCAGACAACTATCCCTTGTATTACATAAGAACGGAAAGCCACAAATTGCATAAAGGCAGGTGGTCTAGCTCGGTCTTGCTAATATCCACCATTCAACTAGATTCTTCCAGACTGTTTAATTGGACTTTTTGCTTTGTTCTATTTTGTTCATTTGTCTGTTTAGCATTTGCAGGGGGAATAGAAACTGTCTCTCCTTCAGGCTGAGCACTTGGGAATAGACTACCAAACATCAACTTAAGAGCCAAGAAAGAAAAAAAATATTTTGGGTAACAAAACAGCTGCTAACTCTACAGAACGCAATTACTAAAAACATCTCGTATAGCTGTGAAGGAAAACTCAAAGAGCTGTTAGCCATTATAGGTTCCTGGGTAGATTTTAAACATTCTAAGACAATGCACAGATATATCGAAAGAGAATGTGCATATCTGGGGAAAAAATCACAAAATAACTGGGATAGAAAAAGAAGGAAGAAAAATTTCCTACAACAGTCACTGAACTACAACAACCCATAAAACACAAGGATAGATTAAACAGCAATAAATTCTTTAAGAAATTTAATAGGATTATGTACAGAATATAGTACTCATTTCATTTCCTATAATGATAAAGGCTATCATCACTGGTCGTTAGAGAATTGCAAATCCAAACCACAATGACATATCATCTCACGCCAGTTAGAATGGGGATCATTAAAAAAGTCAGGAAACAATAGATGCTGGAGAGGATGTGGAGAAATAGGAATGCTTTTACACTGTTGTTGGGAGTGTAAATTAGTTCAACCATTGTGGAAGACAGTGTGGCGATTCCTCAAGGATCTAGAACCAGAAACACCATTTGACCCAGCAATCTCATTACTGGGTATATATCCAAAGGATCATAAATCATTCTACTATAGAGACACATGCACACATATGTTTGTTGCAGCACTATTCACAATAGCAAAGACTTGGAACCAACCCAAATGCCCATCAATGATAGACTGGATAAAGAAAATAGACCGTGGAATACTATGCAGCCATAAAAAAAGAATGCATTCATGTCCTTTGCAGGGACATGGATAAAATTGGAAACCATTATTCTCAGCAAACTAACACAGGACCAGAAAACCTAACACCACATGTTCTCACTCGTAAATGGGAGTTGAACAATGAGAACACATGTCACAGGGAGGGGAACATCACACACTGGGGTCTGTCAGGAGATTGGGAGCAAAGGGAAGGACAGTATTATGAGAAATACCTAATGTAGATGATGTGTTAATGGGTGAAGCAAACCACCATGGCACGTGTATACCTATGTAGCAAGCCTGCACGTTCTGCACATGTATCCCAGAACATAAAATAATAATAATTTTAAAAAGATCAAAGCTAAAAGGAATCTCAACACAACACTCGGCATAACCTTCTTATGTTTTATTTTGTTTAATAAGAGGATAATAGAGAAAAAGTAGTAATTATCAGTATGAGTGGGACTACCCACTGGCAACCTAACTTCTGGGCCATTACCCTCCCTGTCACACTTCTTAGTACCTGTGTCTTACAGAGTAGCTTACAGTACTGTTATATACGTCGTTTCATTATATCTTCACATGTGAGATGTCAGAAAAGGCATCAGTTTTTATTTTATTTTATTTTATTTATTTATTTATTTTTGAGATGAAGTCTTGCTTTGTCACCAGGCTGGAGTGCAGTGGCACAATCTTGGCTCACCTCGACCTCTGCCTCCCGGGTACAAGTGATTCTCCTGCCTCAGCCTCCCAAGTAACTGGGACTACAGGCGTGCACCCTCATGTCCAACTAATTTTTGTATTTTTAGTAGAGATAGGGTTTCATCATGTTGGCCAGGATGGTCTCGATCTCTTGATCTCATGATTTGCCTGCCTTTGTCTCCCAAAGTGCTGGGATTACAGGCAGGAGCCACCATGCCCTGTTGGTGTCTGTTTATTTTAAAGATGATGCATTTACTTAAATGCAATTAAATATAGAAAGTTTAATGTCCTAGTGCTAGTTACATGGATAATGATATAAGCAAGACCAAACCCCAGGCCTCTAGGTTTCAATATACATGTATGCTATCTACTCTGGAGATTAAGTGCTTATATCTAGTGAACGTTAATTTACAAATACTTGTTATGTCAGGTTCTATACAGTGATACCTTGAAATAAT